ACTAGATTGAAACTACTTGACTTGGAGCTGATGGGTCCTGGAAAAACACACTGCTCCCCAATTAAAAACAAAAAAAACAAAAAACTAGGGACCTCAAAAGGTTTTTTTGTTTTTTTTAAGCATACCTCAGATTACGCCCCCAAGCAAGAATTTTTAAAAAACAGTAAGGGCTTATGTTTCTTACAATGGAGGCCTAGGTAATTCAGATAAACCCTATTATAGAAGAAAACTAAAAATGTTGAATAACATATGTAAAACACCTCCTGGAAAATTATGAGGAATTGCTAAGCCAGGATCTAGGAGAAAGTAAAAGCCAAGTGATGCACTCAAAGGTAGTTGACTTTGCCCTAAGGATATTTTGCTGACTCCAGAGAAAGAACTGAGATACATAAGTGAGGTTTTTGGAGCCTAGGGGAAAAAGGAGTATAAAAGCCATAACCCAAGGCCTAATACCTAATAGGCTTAGACCCAGAAAGGTTTTATCCTAAGAGTAAGAGTGAACTAAAGGCAAATGGTATGTATTTGTAGCCCTGGAGTTCACATGGAACATTCAGGAACCCTTGAACCTGGACGCTGGATTAGAGTAGTCCTTGACTAGTACATAGTACACCCAGGCACCTGTCAGAAGCAAACAGAAATGCTCTCTGGAAGAAGATATCCTGTGTCTTTGCCACAAATTTTTTCTACAGATAATTTTTCAAATAAAATTTACAGCACATAACCAAAAATAATTAGCTTGCAAGAGAATATAAAAGATATAAGAGAAGCACACAACAGAAACAACAAATAGAAGCACACCCACAAAGACTTCAAATACATGGAAAAATCAGACATAGCATAAAATAACTATTACTGCCATGTTCAAAGACTAAAGAAAACCTAGAAAATTTTGTAGGAAGCTGGAAGCCATAAGTCATAGTAATTTGGAAGTAAGAAAATCGAAAGCCAAAAAAATACAAAAATTCAGAGTACAATTGTCATGTTTAACAACATGTTCAACACAGCTGAAAAGAGACTACTAAACTAAAAGCTGGATAAAAAGACACTATCCAAAATGTTCCAAGTGTAGAAAAAAATTGAAAATATAAGACGAGAGGGTAAAAAATACAGAGGAAAAAAGAGGAGGTGTAATTTAAGTTTAATTGGAACTTAAAAAGTAGAGGAAAGAAAATGGATCAGAGGGAATATTAGAAGAGAAGCTACGTAAGAATTTTCCTTAATCTTAAAATAGGATAGACTTTCTGACATTTGACACTAGAGTTCTCCACCTTAACTACTATGCTTTACTGTTTCTGAGGAAAATATTACCTAGCTGGCAATTAGGATGATTTATCAGTCATGAATAATAAGATGGCATCACTATATACATAAAGCAGAAACTGCTATAAAAAAATAAACAAATCCACAAAGTAAATTTAGAAGTGTTGATTAAAACAATCATTAAGCTTGAGCTCAGAGATGTTAGAGAAACAGCAGAAAAAACACATTTTGGCCCCTAATCTCATATGAAGTCAAAAAAGAAAAGTTTAGTTAATTTCAGAAAGCAGAAATCATATAGGGCTTATTCTTTAACCAAAACACACTAGTAGATGTTAACAACAAAAGCATACAGAAATAAAATTAGCAATAATATAAGCCATCTACTTAGAAATTTTAAAACACTCTTTTAAAATATTTCTTGGATCAGAGGGGAATTCATTATTGAAAATGAAAATACTTTGAATAAAATAAAAGCCTAGGATAAAGTATCAAAGCTTGTAGAATGGATCTCAAATTGTACTCAAAAGTCAATTTATATTATAGGTAGATAGTAGAAATTAAGGCTAAAAAAGATCCAAACATTTGAGAAGATAGAAGAGGAAGTAAAAGGAAACGATTTTAAAAATATGAGCAGAAATTAATGACATAATATAAAAAACAGGGACAATAAAGTCCCAAAGGCAGATCATTTTGAGAAGGAGAAAGGTAACTAATATTTATTGGATTGTTGGAAAAGTCATGACACATTATTGCAACGAAAAACATAGAAAAAATACATCATGACTTTTCCGACAACCCAATATTATGCACCCAAATTATGGCAAAGTATGTTGCTATGCACTTTACATAGTATTTTACTGATTTAACCTTCCCTACTACCCTTCAGATAGATAATACACTAAAATCACTCCATGTTAAATTTCTAATGACAGACAAAATCTACTTACAAGGAAATAGTTCAGGAAATAACTCCCAACATCCAGAAAGGTAGGTTTAAAAACAAGTAGGGCTTTTCACTAGTAAACAAAAACTATGAAATCACAAGTTTCCTTAAAAGTAGAAATGTACAAAAGTAAAAAATCTAGGAAGTAACTATTGATTTCCTACCAGTAAAGATCAAATAACTGTCCCTAGCTACCATATCCAGATGTGAAATGATGAAAAAACAAGTCTTCCAAAAACTTTTACCTTTAAACTAGATAAACTAAATAGAAAACAATGCTATATTTGGGTTCATTTTAATATTTCTCAAGTAATTCAAAGAATAAAGAGAAGAAAAAAAATGGATAATTCAAAGATATATTTTCGCAGGCAATTATTCATTTGTAAATTAATCCTACTTACATCATCAGACTTGCATTTTTCCTTGTGAGAATATATAGTCCACTCCAAAAGCATATTTACTGGTTTGGTCAAAAGTCCAGAGGTCTCACTTCCTGACCAGAAGATTTCAAGAAGAATTGCCTTTTCTGTTATTTTCAGACTCTCAGAATCTGACCCATCATACAACCTAATGAAAACATGAAAAGTATACCTTTATGCCAATTTGACCACTACAATTATTAGACGTATCTTGTCATAAAACAAAAACAATTCTAGCAATTTCTGAATACAGAAAGGTCATATTTAATAATACAGGACAAAATATAAAAAATGGCCTGAGTTCAATATAATCACCAAATAAACATATACCGGTAATCTAACTTCAAGTTGTAGCACATACATAAACTTATCAGGAATATTATAAATTTAGTGTTAAAACCTAGTGTAGCTTTTTACTTTATCACTCAATTACTAAGGAATTCAAAATATATAACAATCCTAAAAAATAAAAATACTCTTACCTAACCCAATGTATAAGTTAGTGAAAAATAAAAATATGCACTAAGGTAACATTAGAATATATAAATCTTTACTGCTATTGAAGGGCTGTGTCTGAAAATATTTTTAAAATAAATCTACTTTAAACTTTAAACTAGAAAACTAGGTTATTAGAAAAATAGTACATTGGGCCGGCCNGAAGCACTGTTCTCAGATATGATCAGGAGCCACAATACAGAGCCTTGACTACAGACTGATCCTGCCAGGTCAGGATTCATGAGTGGGTGTCAGCACACTCCTTCCCTTCTCCCATCTTGATTAGAGGGCTGGGTTTAAGCCTTGCAGTTATAGTTGTGTGACATGGGAAGTGAGTAGCAGAACTAGCCATAACAGGATGGGAGAGTCCCAACACCTCCCTTGGACCCTGATAGGGTCCAAGTCTTGAAGCTAAACAGAATCAATTCTTTAAGCACTGGTCTTAGCCAGTATTCAAAGAGTTTTGCAGGAGGCCAACTTCATTCTTTGTAAAGACAACATAATAGATGATCACCCTGAGCAAGTTTATTTCTCATGATTCAAGTTATCAAGAGAACACAAGACAGGGCAGTGAAAATCTACATTTAAACTAGCAAATTGATGTCAAGATTCATGCCAAAGAATGTTTCTTCCAACATAATGTGTATGTGAATATCAGTAATGACACTACTCAGGAAGGAAGCGAGAGACTGGTAAATGTTGATTTCTCAAAGTATTCCCCAGTTCAAGGGTACAGTAAATCAGGGTCAATTTTCAAATCTCTGGTCCTAAGACTCTAAATAGGCAAAAAGGTTAGCCTACAGAGCTAATAAGCCTCATATAAACCCACAATCCAGCACTCCCATCAATTAAAAATAACATCAACCAGTTGGAACGCTTCCTTTTTCCTTACACAAATATATATACACATGTACCTTATACCACAAATATCAATATTGCTTAATTTTCAATTTTCCCTGATATTACTGTTGTTAAACAGAGATAGGTAGGCCTTGCAGTACTTGCAAGGAATGACTATAGCTTCTTTACAAGAAACTTCCTGTCAAAGTTATTCTTATCTGTGTGCTATTAGCTAAACATACCACATATCCATAATGGAAAAATACTATATAAAAACACACTTTCAAATCAGGTTCTTGGATCCTTTTATAATATATTCATAACTATGACATTCACTATAACCATAGGGCCAAGACACTGTGCTATAGATTGTAATCAATACATCTCTAACAGTGTATAAACAATGCTTTTTCTAACATAGTGCATATATATGTGCCCTAGATATAGACTAGTGTTTCCCTAACAAGCTGTGACACGTTGAATAAGTAACTTAAACTCTTTAGCTTCAATTACCTTATCTTTAAATACAAACTAGATTCCCTTTCTACCTATAATTGTAGGGTTATCATTAAATAGCACTTAAGGACATCACAAAAAAAGTAGGACTAATCACCAAGCTTGGTAAAATGTGTAACTCCTCCACAACCTTGACGCAGCCCACCTCTGCTCTTTGCCAAGGAAAGCCCAAAGCTTTCTCAGATTAATGACAATGAAATTCACTGCCTTTGTGTCAGTCTGTAATACGTGCTGATTGACATTATGACAAAACAATATTAGCATAAACTGAGGACTTCTGTTTAGCTAATGACTTAAATTGAATGCATCAACTCAGGAAATCAAGAAACAAATGCTTTACAGTACAGAAAATGATGTCTGTGAACATGCATGGAATTCTTGAAATTGGAAACTGCCAAAGAAATTTAATTAAGTACAAGAATGAATTCTAACAGATAAGGTAACAATAAAAGAACAGTTTATATGAATTTAAGCAATTCAAATGTTAAATAAAACATTAATTTGCAAAGTTTAAAACCATTTCTCCTGTTATAACTGATACTACAAATTTATTGTAGATTTCTTCACAAATATGTTGAATTTATTTATAAATGTGAACAAAAATCTTCAAGTTAAATATGTATAAATCTTACTATTTACATCAGTATTTCCTGAGCAAATTCTTATGTGTGATAGTCCCTTGGTGATTTAGTAAAATTGTGAAAACGTCAGTTTTATTATTGTTTTCAGTTGTAATGAACCATTTCATTTATATAATCGAATACATAAAAAGGAAATGTTTAAGAATGAGGAACTGTTACTATCCTTAATGATTCTATTGTCTAAAAAGTACATAAAAAGGCAGATGGTAATTAATAAGGATGTTATCAGTTTTAGCTTAGAAGTACTATACTCAACTGGCAATGAAATGTGGATAGTTCTATTTCTGTTGAATATTTTAAATTTACACACATTCGTATAATCTTTTTTTTTTTAACCAGATACATGTACAAGAAAGTGGCTAAACACCTGGCTATTGCCACATAATAGGATTACTTCATCACAAAGAAGTCTAGACACCCAGAAACAATCTTGCTTTTAAAATGTCAATTAAAAACAAAATTAGGGGCAGCTGGTTAGCTCAGCTGGTTATAGCTCAGTGCTCCTAATACCAA